CGCTTACTTCAGGTATAATCACCGATAGCACTACAGATCATTACCCCACATTTCTCTTAACTAACATTAGCAAACCACCTCTTGAGTCAAGAGTGATACGTTTTAGACTACACAATGAAACTGCTATAGACAATTTTATAACTGCAGCTGATAATGTCAACTGGGAGTCCGAGTTAGGTAACATAGTGGACATCAACCTAGCAGTGCAATCTTTTCTTCAAAAAACTCTTAGCCTTTATAATACCCACTGTCCTATCCTTACAAAACAAGTCACAACCAAAAGGCTTAACAATCCCTGGCTTACAAAGGGAATACTTAAATCTATTAATAAAAAACATGACCTTGAGAAGAAGTATAGGTTAGGAATTGTCTCCAAAGAATTCTCAAAGAATTACTCATTATTGCTGTCTAAGATAATTAGAGGAGCCAAAACTAAATACTACGAAGATAAATTTACCCAAATAAAGAGCAACATTAAACAAACTTGGAGAACAATTTCTCAAATATTGGGATCAAAGAAGTCTTTAAATAACAAACCGACTCTCCTGTCTAATAACGATGGTCAGCTTTCAGCCTCTGATTCTGCTATTGAGTTCAATAGGTTCTTCTCTTCCATTGGTTCATCCCTTGCAAATGATATTCCATCTTCCAGTACAGACATTAATGACTATCTTTCAGGTAACTATCCACAGTCTCTGTACCTAAAGCCTATTAATTCCACTGACGTCAATGAGATAATCCTTTCCCTTAAAACCAAGTCTGGTGGCCTTGAGGAGATACCAACTTTAATTTACAAAAAAGCCTCCAGATCTTTAGCCCCTGCTATTGCTTTGCTCTTCAACAAGTCACTTGAACTCCAAACCTTCCCAGATATTCTAAAAAAAGCGAGAGTAACGCCTGTCCACAAATGTGGTAATCTCACAGATGTTAACAACTACAGACCTATATCTATCCTGCCAAACTTGTCAAAAATTGTTGAAAAACTAATCTATAAGCAGCTTTACTCATATCTAGCCAAACTCAATATACTTAGCCCTTGCCAATATGGCTTCAGACCCAAAAAAAGCACTAACGATGCACTTATTAGTATGCTTAACTCGATTCATACAGCTCTTGATAAAAATGAGTTCCCTGTTGGGTTGTTTGTGGACCTGCGTAAAGCTTTTGACACTGTCAACCACCAAAACCTTCTTCTTAAATTACATCATTATGGAGTCAGAGGACACTCCCTACAATACCTCAAATCCTACCTTACTGACAGGCAATATGTTTCTGTGAATAATACAATTTCTCCCACCCTACCCATCAACATTGGTGTTCCCCAGGGCAGCATACTTGGCCCTCTCCTCTTTCTCATCTACATTAATGACCTTCCAAATGCCTCCCAACACCTCAAACCAATTCTATTTGCTGACGACACAACCTTCATTTACTCCAGTCCTGATCCCCTTGCTCTAAATGCCACAGTAAATACTGAGCTAAATAAAGTCCATCTGTGGCTAACTGCCAACAAACTCACCCTTAACATTGACAAAACCTTTTATATTCTGTTTGGCAATAAATCCTCTAATCAAATAAATCTCAAAATAAACAATACCCAAATTTGTAACAAATTAGATATCAAATTCCTTGGCATTCTCATTGACCACAAGCTTAATTTCCAGGGACACATTCTAAACATATCAAAAAAAGTTTCAAAAACTGTGGGCATTCTTTCTAAGATCAGATATTATGTACAACGCCCTGCCCTGGTGACTCTCTATTACTCCCTTATCTATCCATATCTCAACTATGGTATTTGTGCTTGGGGCTCTACTACCCAAAATCACTTACGTCCTCTAATTACTCAACACAAAGCTGCTATTAGGACAATATCCAATTCTGGCCCCAGACATCACTCGGTACCCCTACTTAAATCTCTGAATATGTTAGACATTAAGTCACTGCACATTCTCTCATGTGTATTATACATATATAAAACGCTAAACTATAATGCCAATCCTGATCTCAAAAGCTTCATAGAAGGTTGTATCAGAACCCATGAGCATCACACCAGAAATAAATACAGTTTTGATATTCCTAGAGTACGACTTAATCAAACTAGAAATGCTCTACAAATCAAGGGGCCCAGAATGTGGAATGACCTTCCCAACCATGTTAAAGACTGTACCTCTCTCAACCAGTTTAAGTTAAAAGCGAAGCTATACCTAATAAATTCCCTGTAACTACCTATTGTCAACCAATGTCTGTTTTTTTCTTTAAAGAGCGCTGTTTGTCGACATAATTGTATTTGTGCTGCTTTTTCATCTATGTTTTCATTTCTTGTTTTCATTCTACTCATTATGCTCAATTAGTATTAAGCTTGTCATTTAAGTTTATCATGCCCGAAACGCTTTGCGTAATAGTGGCTTTAGGCATTGTATGTACTAGCTATACCTATAAGTCAAACAATCCTTGTAAATATTGTATGTATGTATGTACCTTACCTAAATAAAATTGCATTGTATTGTATTGTATTGTAACATCATCGAAGTGTTTACCTAGGGATCTAACGTTCAAATTGATTACAGAGATATTGTGATTATGAGTTAATACATTGTTTACATCATGTGCTGCAAAATATCTGCAATTTAGATCATTAAAGTGATTATTGTCATAGATAGTGGATAAGAGGTTAAGTTCTGGGTCTATACTTGACTGCATAAAAAAAGCTGATTGCAGGAAAAACAAGGAAAGAAAGGCAAATTACAAGGTAGAAATAAGCTATAAAATAGGGGGAAAAAAAATGTACACAATACTGTACAAAACAAACACAAAAGGGGCTTACAGGGGTACAATGGAGTAAGGGAGTATGGCTAGGCTAGGAAACCTAGGTAATAAATGAGATTAAAGAAAAAACATATAAACATGGACCATACAAAACACAAGATATAGACATACAAAACAAAAATATAAACAAGACTAAGCAATACAAAAACAAATTGAGCAAAAATGAAAAATGAGGTAGATTGCTTACAAGTACTCTCAGGTACACTGTAAGTAACAATAGATAGATAATATATATCAATATAGATAAGAATGTCACGATACAATAAGATAAGCAATTACAGGAACAGATGAAAACAAATCAGCTGTAAAATAGAAAGTAATTATAGCAAAACACAACAATATAATAATATAACAATACAATAAGAGCTTACAAAGTATTGAGTCTGCTAAATTAGAGAATAATTATGGCAAAACACAACAATAAATGCAAGTAAACAAAAGAATTGAAACAATTAGAGGTAGAATTAAGGTCACTAGATAGCCACGGAGGATACACAAGTTTGGTGGAGAGAACAAAAAATCAGTAGAGACTGTCAAGATGAATATATAAAAAAATTTGACAAATGATAATTGTAAAGTAAAATAATATATACACACACACATGCATTCACATACATTTGTCTCATTTACTCTGACAGGGTGAAATAGCTGATAAAGAAACTAGTGTGCAATTAAGCACTTAATCACTGAAGGTGATGAAGGTGCTTTTACAAGCTCAGGTTATATAGTTACATCATATATATACATTGTATAATTGATATATTACATGGTCAATCTTGGATACAAGTCCAATATATCATCAAGTGTTCCAGTACTCATATAGTAATTACAGAGTTCAGCATACCTTAGCCCAGGAGGGCGAAAGTCAGTCAGTGCCCCCTTAAAACCAAGTCTAGTGCCCTCGAGGAGATACCAACTTTAATTTACAAAAAAGCCTCCAGATCTCTAGCCCCTGCTATTGCATTGCTCTTCAACAAGTCACTTGAACTCCAAACCTTTCCTGACATTCTAAAAAAAGCAAGAGTAACCCCTGTCCACAAATGTGGTGATCTCACAGATGTTAACAACTACAGACCTATATCAATCCTGCCTAACTTGTCAAAAATATTCGAAAAACTAATCTACAAGCAGCTTTACTCTTTTCTAGCCAAACACAATATACTTAGCTCTTGTCAATATGGCTTCAGACCCAAAAAAAGCACTAACGATGCACTTATTAGTATGATTAACTTAATTCACGCAGCTCTTGATAAAAAGGAGTTTCCTGTTGGGTTATTTGTGGACCTGCGTAAGGCTTTTGACACTGTCAACCATCAAAACCTTCTTCTTAAATTACATCATTATGGAGTCAAAGGACACTCCCTGCAATACCTCAAATCTTATCTTACTGACAGGCTCCAGTATGTTTCTGTGAATAATACAATTTCTCCCACCCTACCCATCAACATTGGTGTTCCTCAGGGCAGCATACTTGGCCCTCTCCTCTTTCTCATCTACATTAATGACCTTCCAAATGCCTCCCAACACCTCAAACCAATTCTATTTGCTGACGACACAACCTTCATTTACTCCAGTCCTGACCCCCTTGCTCTAAATGCCACAGTAAATACTGAGCTAAATAAAGTCCATCTTTGGCTAACCGCCAACAAACTCACCCTTAACATTGACAAAACGTTTTATATTATGTTCTAATATAGCTCTACCTATAAGTCAACCAATCTTTGTAAAAATTTATTATATGTATGTACCTTACCTAAATAAAATATTATTATTATTATTATTATTATTATTAACACTGTTTGTCAACCTATTGTATTTGTGCTGCTTTTTCAGTCATGTTCCCCCTTTTTTTTATCTTTATTTGTATTTGTTCTCAACACTTTTTATTCTTTATGCTCAATTAGTATTAAGTTCTAGATATTAATGTTTTTCTTGCCCGAAACGCATTGCGTAATAGTGGCTTTAGGCATTGTATGTACTAGCTCTATCTATATATCAATCCATTAATGTAACATCACTTGTATGTATGTATGTACCTTACCTGAATAAACATATTTATTTATTTATTCATTTATGGGACGGGTGTGTAGTTCACTGTCTGTGAATATCGATATCGTTGGATTCTGTGTTCTAACCGATGTGTTTGGGTGCTGACATTCGGGTTCTGTGTTTTAACCGATGTCCTGTACGAACGCTGTGTTGTTATTGTTATTTTGTTCTACACTGCTTCGCACGGGTGCATCACTTGCTTAACATAAACGCGTCTCCCAACATTTGTACTGATGCAGTCATCGAAAGGATAAACTCTTCATGCAAACTGCACCTAGTATCAAGAAGAAGAATAAGAAGTTTCCATGCAAACTGCACGTATCGCGAAGAGGAAGACGTTCGTCTCCGCCCCTCAACCACCAACAACACACTCTCCATATTTCACAACAATCAACAACACTTCAAGAAGATGATTGGACCTAGGAGCTAACCAGGCTACTAGTCTCGCACTTAAATCAAATAGAAGATTATAATACTAGAAGCCTTCCCATAGCACTGCAGTCATTCTGAGGATGACTAGTGACCATAAATAGAGAAGAAGATTAGATTAACTCAGAGCAGCATTGACTTTACTATAAGAAAGTTGTGACCTATCCTACAGACACTAATTCCAGATAAGAAGGTGGACACATATTGATAGGTAAGGTTAGATTAGGTAGTTCTGATTTCAGTAGTGAACAGAAATTGGAAGCTGTTAAAACTGCAGTAAATGACCTTCCCAGTCACGTCAAAGACTGCCTATCTCTCAACCAGTTTAAGAGAAAAACTAAGTACTATCTAATCAACTTCATGTAACCTACCTTACCCCCCTAAATGTCAACCTATGTGTTGTTATACCTGCTTGATACCTGCTTGATGGGGTTCTGGGAGTTCTTCTACTCCTCAAGCCCGGCCCGAGGCCAGGCTTGACTTATGAGAGTTTGGTTCACAAGGCTGTTGCTTGGAGCAGCCCACAGGCCCCCACACCCTCCAGGGCCCGGTTAGTCTGGCACATTTTTTAGAAAAGAGTCTAGTTTACTCTTGAAGATGTCCACGGCTGTTCTGGCAATATTTCTTATAGTCGCTGGGATAACGTTGAACAACCGCGGACCTCTGATGTTTATACAGTGTTCTCTGATTGTGTCTATGGCATCTCTGCTCTTCACTGGTTCTATTCTGCATTTTCTTCCATATCGTTCACTCCAGTATGTATTATCAAACAATAATGATTAATGACTAACTTGTAAAACTGCTGATATCTGCCATGTATAAACTTAAGGAATTGTAGTCCATCTGATAATTTATTAAAATTACTATCTGCTCTGTTGCAATTGCTGCTGTTAATTAAACATGTAATAGTTGTCATTCTTCATTTAGTTCACTTCATGCTTTTAATATCAATTAGTCTTAAGTCTTAGTTTTAAAAAAAAAATTCCAACATCTTGCCCGAAATGCTGTGCATACTAGTGGATTTAGGCATCGTATATACTAGTGTTTCTAGAAATCCAATATTTTGCTTGTAACTCAATATGTATGTACTTATTCCTAAATAAACTATTTGTTATTTATTTTTTTAATTAATTTATCTATCTATCTATCTATCTATTGGTCTTAAGTATTATTTCACTGTTTGTTTGGCTGACTATAGGCTGTTATACTGCTAAGTAATAACTATGCACAATGAAATAACATTAAAATGATTTAATTCTAATTAATAATTCATTGTATCGAGGGACAGGCAGCCAAAGTGTTTTCATACATGTTAAAATACTTTGCCTTGGCCGGCGTGCCACCTGCAGCGCACTGCAGGGTAGGCTGGGCGGTGCCGCAGTGCCTGTGAGTGCACAACCACACACTATTTAAACTCTTTCCAGTTTCTCACCTCAATTTTCATTCATTTTTGTGTTAAATTGGTGCAAGATATTGGCCTACATTTTAAAACACGTCACATAATAATCGGAAAATAAATGGAACTTTGGGCCATTGTGGACGCACATTGTATCCTCCCCCAAACTATGTGAATTGATTTTAGAACACAAATAGCGTTATTCCCCAGCAAAAGTGTTAGCTTTCTCTCGCTCCCGGCATGCACGCTGCAAACTTAGAGGTCATGCGCCCGGCGTGCGTGCAAGCGTGCTGGCAAGAGCGCGGCGACACCGAATGTATACTGTATACTTGTTTCAGTTTTCTCACCTTAATTTTCATGCTACGTCGTTCTTTTTGGTGTCATTGTGTTCGCAATAGAATTCCCAACAGGTGTATATGCATATAATGTCCAAAAGCCTGGTGTGACTTCCACAGCAAAGCCTAAACGCGGCAAAAGTTACCCATGAGCGCACAAAATCGGTAAAATGTGTATACTCGTTTCAGTTTTCTCACCTAAAATTCTCATGCTATGTCGTTCGTTTTGGTATCATTGTGTTCGCAATAAAATTCCCTATAGGTGTATATGCATATAATGTCCAAAAGCCTGGCGTGACTCCCCACAGCAAAGCCTAAATTTACCTGTGAACGAGCACCAATTTGCACACCGCAGCCTAATGTGTATACTCGTTCAGTTTAAAAGCATCAATTTTCGTCTTATGACTTTCGTTTTGGTATCAAATTGTTCGCAATATAAAGGCGCGTACTTTAAAACTAGTCTCATAATAATAGAGCAATAAATAGAATTTTAACAAATATTTTAATTTTGGACGCTCATCATCACAAAATTATGTACTGTATATCTTTCCAGTGTTCTGACATAAATTTTTCGTGTTACATCTTTCATTTTGGTATCAAATTGTTTGTAATGTAAAGGAGCACATTTTAAAACTAGCCCCATAATAATAGCACATTAAATAGAATTTTAACATATCTTAACACTTTCGCTCTCTTTGGACATCGATCCCGTCCATTTTTTTCTCCCGAGTCCTGGCTTTGGACAGGACTCGCGTCCACTAGAAAAATATTTATATAAAATTCATTTATTATCCGATCGACCTCGGGATAGTTTCAAATTAAGTGCGTTTAGAATGCGCACAATTTGATACCAAAATGAAAGATGTAACATGAAACTTGATGTCCGAACACTTAAATGATTATAAATAGGTTTTTGGTCAAAATGTTAAAATATTTGTTAAAAATCTTTTTATTGTGCTATTATGTTGGGACTAGTTTTAAAATGCGCGCCTTTGCGTCGTAAACAATTTGATACCAAAATAAAAGATGTAACACAAAAATTTATGTCAGAACACTAGAAAGATATAAATAATTATGATGATGAGCTTCCAGAATTAAAATAGTTGTTAAAATTCTAGTTATTGCTCTTTTATTATGGGAATAGTTTTAAAATACTCGCCTTTTTATTGCAAACAATTTGATACCAAAATGAAAGACGTAACACGAAAATTGATGTTATCACACTGAACGAGTATACACTTAAGGTTGCAATATACAAATTGGTGCTCGTTCACGGGTAACTTTAGGCTTTACTGCAGGGAGGCACGGCAGGCTTTTGTACATTATATTCATGCACATCTGTAGGGAATTTAATTGCGAACACAATGATACCAAAACGAGCGATGTAGCACGAGAATTAAGGTGAGAAAAATGGAACGAGTATAAACATTTTACTGATTTTGTGCGCTCACGGGTAACTTTTCTGACTTTAGGCTTTGCTGTGGGGAGGCTCGCCAGGCTTTTGGACATTATATGCATAAACATTTGCAGGGAATTTAACACTTTCGCGCTAATTGGACTCATTTGTGAGTCCTGTTTCGTCTAACGCTAACGCATAGTGGACATAAAGTTATGTCCTCTTTTAAAATATTTGTATAAAATTCAATTTTTATCCGATTTACTTTGGGTTTGTTTCAAACTGCGCGCCATGAGGCTCTCTTTCTCACCACTAGGCTGCATGGTACAATAAGTTCATGAAAGGTGTGGATAACTTCGATCAAATGGTATTATGTCCCAAACGGGGTGCAGGTGGGTGACTTTAGCCGTTTATACTGGTAATGCTTCCCCCATATCATGTATTATATGCATATGTCTGTTTAGGGAATTTTATTCCGATCAATATACAACCAAAAATAACTGTGTGCAACAAGTATAAACTTGACAAACATAACAAAAGTAAAAACATTTCGTGTGTGTTTGACGCTCACTGATATGTTCCAGCGTTGTTTTATATTTGGCGCTATTCTAACTTACGCTTTGTTGATCTTTTTTACCTATGGGCTCATAGAACATTCTATTGCGAAAACATTGACACAAAAATGAATGACGTACATAGAAAATTAATGTCATGAGAGTGAAATAAGTATAAACTTTCAAAGCGCCGTGCGTCGTCCCGTCACCGATACCGGGTAACAATTTCACCACTTCCCACACTACTGCGGGCGGGCCGCATCATTATTCTACGCTTATATTCATATCACCGTGTTGGGAATTTCATTGCGAGTCCATTGATACCAAAATTAACGCTGTAGAACAAGTGTGGAGGTGATTACAATCCCAAGAGTAAAAACATTTTGTTGCTGTTGGGCGCTCACGGCGAGTCATCTTCGTAGTTATTTATTTGGTGCTGGTATCCCTATACGTTTCGTGACTTTTTTTACTGATGTTCTTCTAGAGAATTTTATTGCGAACACGTTGGTACCAAAATGAAATACGTAGCATGAGAACTAAGGTCAGAAGAGTAAAAAGAGTATACACATTTTTGTTTTTACGCTTAAGCGATAAAAAAGCTGCGCGCACATACGGTTGGCTGAGTGACCTTCGCGGAGAGCGCGAAAGTGTTAATTGCGAACACAATGATACCAAAACAAACGATGTAGCTCCAGAATTAAGGTGAGAAAACTGAAACGAGTATACACATTTAGGCATCGCCGCACACTCGCCCGCACCATTGGGGCCATGATGTCAAAGTCTGCGGCGCGCTCGTGGGGTGCGCGATAGTGTTAAATATGTATGTGTATGTATATATGTATACGTATAGATATATGTACATGTATGTATGAGAATGTGCACATGTATATATAACATTAATAATTTTGTAACTAGCATCAAAAAATTATTTGCTTAGCTAAATGAACTAGAGGGTTCAGTTCCTGAACCGATTATGTGCCTCTGTAATCCTTTACACCACTGTCCACGGGGGTGGGTATGGGGGGCATAATAAAGAAAGAAATTGAATCAAGAGTCCTCCTTAAAGGTAAGATAAACATATGTACTGTATTGTAGTTAGAGAAAAAAATTGTATTCAGTAGAAAGTGTACAGTATTTGTAAGTTAATATTTTTGGGGGTGTGGAACGGATTAATTAAATTCCCTTTATTTCTTATGGGAAAAATCGTTTCGACTTACGATACGTCTCTGGGAACAGAATATCATTGTAAATCGAGGCCCCACTGTATATTTTGTTTGGTAAAAAATCCTCAGATCAAATTAACCTAAGAATAAACAATATCCAAATTAGTAACAAAGTAGATGGTAAATTTCTTGGTGTTCACATCGATAACAAGCTGAATTTTCAGGGCCACGTTCAACATATAGCAAAATCAATTTTTAAAACTGTTGGCATTCTTTCTAAGATATCTTTCTTTCTAAGATCAGAGTTTGTTATTATTCTAAGAATAATAACAAACTCTGGGCCCAGACAGCACTTGGCCTTCTACTT